GATAAAAATTCAGACACTTGGCAACTTACTCATATTTATGATGGTTGCAGTGTCCCGGGGTCATGTTGGTCACTTTTGTTACCTTCTGACCAGCAAAGTCAATAGGAAAGGAGGAAAAACGCCACTTTATAGCTAGTACAACTAATGATTAAAGATATTTCACTCATTACTGGGAATGAGATCAGGGCAATGACGATTTATTTTGGGGGGAAACACAAGAATGTAGTCAGGACATGATGTTAAACTGCACTGTAAGCTACTTTTATTAGGTCTGTCAATGCTTGAGAACCCCTTGTCTCAATTCCACAAACTATTCTGAACGAAACGTGCCTCCTTCTTTCAGCAGATCAGCCAGCCAGCTAATGCTACAAAAACTATTACTAATTTAAAACACATTTTTGGAGTATTTCCAGCAGTGGGCAAGATTAAGATTGTTTATTAATCCAGATGATTTTTAAAAGAATCCTATTAACAATACTAATACTATAGAAAAAAAGTGCATCTATGAAGTAGTTGCAAAATCACGCCCTGCCCCAGCATGAAAGGATTACAATCCACAACCTCTTTTTTAGCTCAACCAGAGTAGACACTCTTCCTCTTAGAATCACATCCCAAAATTTCAGATTCCCCTGCAATTTTTTACGGAGGCAGCAGCTCAGTTTCTACACAGCATGACAGACCGGTTGAGCATCTCCATGCGCTCATGTCAGGTGGGACAGGAACTTCGGCTCTTGTGAAGCTGTTCACCCAAACACCCATTTGTTAAATAACAGTGGGCCGCGGAGAAGGAAGGTGGCAAAGCTGGCGAGAAGCAGGGAAGACATCTCCATCACTATGTTTAGGAATTCACGGCCGGCCAGCCCTGCAGCTGGAGGAGCAGTTTTAACTACCAATCTTGCATGATGAAGAAGAACCCAGCCCTTCCACCTGTTGAAGGCGTGTGTGAGACCCAAGCCTTCCCAAAAGTGCAGTGTCGTTGGTTCGTGGTGAGGTGAGACTTAATCACCACCTCCACACAAGCCGCGCAGGGAAGGACTCTCGCTTTCGGTCCCATCGCATTCCCTTCCAGCGCCTGCACGCTAAGCTAGGCGAGTCAGGAGTACAGTACAGCAGAAACCTCCAGCACTCCTCTACCACCTCCCTTGACTCTTAGCACCCCCTGCCGCCCCCTTGCCTCTTAGCACCCCCTAAGTCATCCCACTGCCCCCAGGGGGTGGTACCGCCCACTTTGGGAACCACTGACACTTCACTTCACAGCTAGGAGTGTCTTCAACACTTGCTGCACTACTTTGATGTATTCTTCTAGAGTCTCACTGAAGATGAGAATGTCATTCAAGTAGACTAGGACTCCCTTGTATAAGTGTTCATACAGCACCTTGTTAATCAGTTGCTTGAAGAACGTAGGGGCTCCTTGGAGCCAAAAAGGCATGACTCTGAACTGGAAGTTGCCCAACAGGCAATTAAAAGCAGTCTTCCATTCATCTCCCTCCCAAATGCATATTTGGTAATAGGCTTCTTTGAAGTTTAGTTTCATGAACATCTTGCCCTTTGACAGATGATTCAACATGTCTTTCATAAGGAAGAGAGGGTAGGTGTTTTCCATGCACACAGCATTAATTACGTGAAAATCCACACTAAGTCTCATCCCCCATCCTTCTCTTTAAATAGCACAGGGACAGCCACTTTAGATTTTGCGGGTTGGATGAAACCCCTGGCTAGGTTGGTATTGATGTATTTCCTCAGTTCAGCCATTTCCCTTGAGCTCATGGAATACATGTTGGGATTTGGCAGCTTAGCCCCTGGCTCGAACTCAATTACGCAGTCAGTTGGTTGATGAAGGGGGAGGAAAGTGCAATCTTCTTTGCTAAATGTGTTGGCCAGGTCCAGGTACTCTATGGGGACTGGAGTGCTGCCAGGCAGTGGTTCCATGGTGGCCACCACATTTTCCAACTGGCAGGGGCCACTAGGGCTTTTCGCCTGTTGGCAGTTATTTGGTGGGACCAGCGGTAAGGGGCCAATGCCTATCCTTATTTTTCAGTAGCCATCCTCCCATGTGATGGTTGGGGACCACTTGTCTAGCAAACTGAGTCCCAATATTACCCGCTCTGTCATTTGGAGGTGACTACAAATCAGATGAGCTCTCGGTGACACCCCATCTCCAGCCTAATGAGTTCAGTGACTAGTGTGGCTGGGACTCTGCCTATTAGTGTCTCATCAACTTGCTCAAAGTGAAGGCTTGGGGCCTCATGCTTATTCCTAGCTGCTCAATGATGGGGAGACTGATCAGACACTTAGTGCAGCCAGTGACTATCACTGACTCTACATCACCTTGCACCCCACTCTCTAGTTGGATTTTAATAGTGAAGGGGTAGATGGCTTCACTTACCAACAAATCATCTTTGCTGCTGTTTCCACTGGCAGCCCCAGAAGGGGGGTGACTGGCTGGAGATTCCTCACCTTCATCTGGGGGAAGAAGAACATCTATGGCCTGCCCGGTGAATCTCCCCACTTCCAGCAGCTTCTTGGGGGTCCACCTTCCCTGGGTTGCAGACAGAGACCGGGGCAAGGAATGGGAGTGGGAGCTAGACACTCAGCTGCCTGATGTCTCAGTTGGTTGCACTTGAATCACTTTACCATTCCTGCAGGCCTGGAAGGGGCTGGCTTAGCTGGCTTCACCAGGGCTTGGTGGCCAAGGGTTCTCTTGGCCGGTTTCTCTGGAGTGGGTTTCCGAGGGGGGATTATTTCTCAATCTATCACAACAACTATGGTATGCCAATCACTGCAGGCAGGTGAGAATGACTTAGTGGGCATGGCTATCTGAGTGTCATCAGGTAGGCATGAGTGGGTAGGTGTGGCCAGGTCAATGTGAAGCATTAGGTACAGCTGGCTTGATGCAGATGTCTCAGGGCTGCTAACCTGGGGTGCTGGGTGGGTGTGGTCAGGTGGGGGCACCCAGGGGGGCCAGGTGGATGCAGAACAAGTTGCCCTGTGCAACTGGATGTGGAGCCAATTCATCACCCAGTCAGAACAAAAATCACCTGGAGACATGCTGGCAAATAGGAAGCAGGGAAGCAGCAAAATTTGAAAGGCAAAGGGTGGATTCCCCCCCCCCCACCTTGGAGAAACACTCCTTTTTTCTTTCAGTTTCCTACCTCCTGTTCCAGCAGGAGAACCTACACCATTTAAGACAAGTGACTATCCAGTCTCTTAGAATGCAGAAATAGATAATGCTTGGGCCATCACTGTGGTTTTTCATATTCTTATGATTTATGTTCTTATGCTATTCTTGCTAATAATCTTTGCAGGATGACCAGATAAGGATCTCTTGCCTGATAGGTCCAAAGCAGAGATGGGTTGCTGCTGGTTTGGCCTGGTTCAGACGAACAGGTAGCGGAATTCAGGCCTGGGTTGCAGAACTGCCAGTGACCCAGGCCTGCTATGCCTCTGAACCGGTTTCCTCGCCCCTGCTGGGCTGCCGCCATTTTGTTTTTTAGTGACTGCATGCACAGATCACTGTAAATTGTTCTGTGAATGTGCGAAGAATAATTTACATTGAACAACGCAAGTGGTTGCAGTGCATGGCTGGTATACGTGCAGGTTGTGAACTGGTAGCAAAACGAGCAGCAACACACCCCTAGTCCAAAGGAATAATGTGTATACCCATAAATAGAAGTGATACTTGCCTAGTTTATGTTCACATAGACCAACAAACATGGAAATCAGGATTCTGCATTTAGTTGGGATTGTTTATGACATTTTGCTTTAACTGTGGGAAACATCAATAAGGAAGACGTAGACCAATAAAATCAGGAAATTAAAAAAACAAACTGGCACATCTCCTATCCACTGTTACTTTTCCAACACTATGTGGAAGCTGGGCAACATAAATAAATGGCTGCAATGAGAACTAGAAAAATATGAGAAAATATTGGTTTTTATTAAATGATTGGTAATTATTTAAAAATTTGGTACCCGGATAAAGCATAACACATGGTATATAACTATAAAATTAGTTTGCTTCATATTCCAAAAAGAATATCAGAATAGAGAGATGCACAACAGTATCCAAAATCAAATTGTTAGGGTATTGGGGGTTTTTCTTTGGGGGGGGGGGGATAGAGTCACAGCAAGAACTCTTCCAAACTGTACTTAAAACACAAAATATCCACCATCCTGCCTTCTGTTTATCTCTGCCTTCTCCATTTCCATGCTCCTCTTTCCCATTTTTGTGGATTTGACCAAATGGGGAATGATGAATCCCTTCCCTGATTCAGTAAGATATCTGCAAATCAGTGATGGTTTTCAAAGTTTTTTAGAACTTATTCTGTAGGTGTGGCCTGTTTTATGGGAGTGGCTTGGTGGTCATATGACTGGGTGGGAGTGGCTTGGCAATCCTGTTACGGGGTGGTCGTGTGACCAGGTGGGGGTGGCCTAGTCGATGTCACTGAATTAACATGGCAGGCTGCACCAAAGTAAGCCTCAAGCCTGAACCAAACTAGGGTTTTATGATATTAAGCTTTAACTGTTCACATAGAAATTGCAAGGTTTGCTTTTAGGACATAGTGCAGTTAGACACGGGTTAGAAGGAAGTCTGTACATGAAATATGTTGAGGCAAAACATCTATTTTAGCCCATTTGCTGGGTTGGTTGTTAATCTGTTTGGTAGACACATATTGTTAGTTCCTCAAAATACGAGCTATGTATGTCCGTTGGCTGACCTATGTATTATGACATCCTGTAGACATACTTTCTGTAACTCAAGGGCAAATCCTGAGGGGTGTTTCCAAAACTAACAGATGGCTTTAGCTGAAAGCGATAAACTATATAAGGAAGTTCCTGAATTTCACTTATTGTTCAGGCCATGTATTCTTTGCTATGAACCTGCGCAAATAAACTTTTCCTTCTCTGAAGAGCTGGCTTATGTGTCCTGTCATTTTCTAGAACAGAATTCTTTGCCCCAATGAATGACCTACAAAAAGAAGATATAAAAAAGGAACTGTATTATTTTGTGCACTTACTACTTAAATAAGAATAAAATAAGTACACAAAACAATAGCTACTTACAGAAGGAAGATGACTGTCCTCGCCTGTTTTCAATATAACTGACTATCTTGCTCCAATGACCTGCACAAAAATAAGAGACACAGAAATGAACTCTTCAATTGCATGCACTGCATTAGGATGAAACAAGCACACAAAACAATAAAACAGCTACTTATAGAGGAAAAATGATTGTCCTTGCCTGTGTTCAATATAACTGACTATCTTGCTCCAATGACCTGCACAAAAATAAGAGACACAGAAATGAATTCTTCAATTGCATGCACTGCATCAGGATGAAACAAGCACACAAAACAATAAAACAGCTACTTAGAGAGGAAAGATGATTATCCTTGCCGGTCTTCAACTTCACCATCTCACCACCTTGCTCCAATAATCTGCACAAAGAAGAGACACAGAAAAGAAGACTCTAATTGCATGATCTTATACCTTACATAAGAATAAAACAATGAAAGAGATACACTCAAGTACTTACTTGTGTTATTGGTTTTGAGGTTGAAGATGTTTTCAGATTGTTCTTAGGTTTCCAGACTCCTCAATTGCACTTTTCTTGGTCTTCACTCATGGATCATCAGCCGTGTGATGGTGTGCTCTGAGCCACTTTTTCACTGCAGGAATTAGGTCCCATCTCTTAACAGGCATGCCAACAACGCTTATCGTCATCAGATTACTAATGTTTGGAACAATTAGGCAGGTTCTTTGTTCTGAACATATGAGGTTCATTTTTGAGAACCCTCTTTTTGCCTCTGCTGAACTAACAGCAATTGTCCTGATAATATCTCTAGCTTTTTTGATACTGTCAGGAATTTTGTAGGTCTTTGGATCTTTGATCACATTTTCCCAAAAAATCTCTGTAGTCGTTCAAATAAATTTCATAATTAAATATTTCACCAAATTCAATCAATGCTGTCTCTGCTTCTGCCCATGGAATGACTACATCTTCAATGTTTTTGAAGGCTTCTGAAGCTAGCATTCCATCAACCTTTTTTTTTCATATGGACCCTTTCCCCATCTAAGCATTTCAAATGCTTTAATTGATCGCAATACCAATTTTTTGGCCTTGATAATATCTGTGTTTCTCCCCTGCAGGGCATTTGACAGAAGAGAAATCTCATTTACAACATCAATCATGAGGCCAAATCATTCAAAAAATTTAAATTTTCAAAACAGGAAGCCATGCCTGGGAATCTTTCATTGCCCAGAAAAAACTGATGTAGCGCTGGTTAAGCATGCCACATAGCTATGGTTGACCTTAAACTACAGACAGCCCATCTTAGTTTCAAAAGTCTGCCAATGTTCACAATTTCAATGCCCAATTGTTCAGAGATTTGGAAAAGGTCATTCTGGCTCTTGCAGGATTTCTGGAAAGTGGTGTGTACCTTGTCAAGCAATATCTTGAAGTGGTTCACTTGTTTTATTTCTTTTATCGCATCATCCAGCACAAGTTGGTGGTGGTGGTTCAAGCAGTGCCAGATTAAAATGTTTGGGAAGTCTTGATATATTCTGGTGCTGACTCTAGATTTTCTCCCAAACATAATGTTGGCACCATCGGAACAGAAAGCTATTAAATTCTTCTACAGATAT